TGAGATTTGAACCGCTGAACTGCTAATCTAGCAGTAGCCTGCAGTGCTGCATTTAACCACTGCGCCACCTTGGCTTATTAGATAATAATGTCAGCATTTATATATAACATAGGAATATGTATAAATTTGAATCTCTTTATTCCTGTCCAATTTTCAATTCTACAGAGACTTTGCCTCTAAGAGATACTATTTAACCATTGAGACAATAAATGATTTCATAAGTACTGGTACATCAAGTAACATTGTGATGACTCTGAACTTACTCACCTCCCTTTGGATTCCTTCTCACGATATCTTCGTCCACCTTTTTCTCCAGATTGTGAGGGACAAGGCAATAGTCGTAAAGCCCGAGAATGGCCTTCAATTCCCTGCAATTGATTTCCTCCGGGATACTGTACACAAGCAAGCTCTATCAGGTAAATTGTGTGTGCAAACTTCCTGAAATGAAGTTGAGTGCTTCTTGAGTGCTTCTGGAAAAATAATTGCTCTATGAGGTTATCTCCATGTCTTTCAACAAAGAGTATATAAGATTTCAAGAATGTTTCAGTATATCGGTATGCCTTTTGAGGAAATGACCATAATACGTAGATATTAGGACCAAATGAGAAGGGTTTCCAGTTAACAGTTCTTGAGCTGAACAGATGGAACCACAGAATAGATATTTAAACAAACAAACATAGTAGAATCAAGATTTTAATCTTAACAAAATGAACTATGTCCTTCATTGGTGAGAAAAGCACATAGCCTGGCCAGATTCTCTTGCAAAGACCTTGTATGTATGCTAGCTCTTTGACTGATCTCTTTCTTGTGTTCTTGTTTTCTGACTTCTTTTCTTTGAAGGGCAGGGTGATGTGTTGGTGTTGGTGGTTCTGGGCAATGTGAGAAGGCTCATCTGCCCCACATTTACCAAGAGATGGAAGTGGCCTGAGGAAGAAAGTTGCAGCAACTTATTCCTGCCTCTTTCAATGGTCTTCCTAAATCTCCAAGTGCTAGAAAAAGTAGGATATGTGGCCTGCGAGGAATGCTGCGGGAGGATGTCCTCTTCCCCATCATGGCCTTTTATGAAACAGTCTGTCTTCTCCCAAACTGCACTCTGAAATGTCTTGGACCTCCCACAGGTCGTAGACAGTCAGTTCAACCAAGCATGCTGTCATTAAGGAGGATTATAGTTCCAAAGTGCCAGGAAAGGCGGGGAAAGCCATAATACATGTGATGGCAGCCTGATCCAGGAACCTATGTAGCTCCCCCAACTATCAACCTGACTACCAAAAGAGAAAACTGAATGATTTTGAGATTTCTCCTCCCTCCTTTTCTATTTAGGAAGAGACCAGAACACTCTCTCTTGCAATTTTGTTTTATTATTTTTTCCGGAAACACACCAAATTCTGATGACGATAAATCAGGACCTCATGGTGATTTACAGAAGATCATCTTGATTTGTAAACTGTGTACAGTGTCCTGTTTATGTATGGATGTTATTGTGCTTTGTTCTTGGTTTTCAGTAGCTAATTGCATTTGTCCCTTGGCACCTGGTTCTCCTCAAGGTTCTTGTCAAAAACACAACACAACAAACACGAAGCACAAAGACTGATATTTCTACAATAATATACAAAGTTCTTAGTCTTTTCCTCTGTCCAATTTTTCTTGGAACTGCAATGTGAGTAGATTAGACTAAGATGCTCTATACCAGTGATGGCTGTGGAGGGAGTTGAATCTGTGTCTCTATACAGATCCAAATTATAAATTTTCACAGCTTCGTGCCCTCAAAGAATCAAACTTCTACTTTTTGAATTGCTAATCAGCATTGATTGGTGGTATGACTCCTGAGAGTTGGAATCTAGCACATTGTGGAGGCAAAGATGAGCCTATGTAATTTTATAATTTAGTCCATATTGGTCAACTTACATTTCTATACATTTATTGATATTAGTTCAATAAATTATATTACTTGAGTCTCTGAAAGTATTTTTTTCTTCTCATTTCCAATTTTAATTGTTATAACTTCCTTCTATGGCATCAGGGATGTGGTGGCTCAGTGGCTAAGATGCTGAGCTTGTTGATTACAAAGGTGGGCAGTTAGGCGGTTCAAATCCCTAGCGCCGCATAACGGAGTGAACTCCGTTACTTGTCTCAGCTTCTGCCAACCTAGCAGTTCGAAAGCAAAATGCAAGTAGAAAAACTTGCCCACTTTGGTGGGAATGTAATAGCATTCCGTGTGCCTTCAGCATTTAGTCATGCCGGCCACATGACCACGGAGATGTCTTTGGACAGTGCTGGCTCTTCGGCTTTGAAACAGAAATGAGCACCGCCCCCTAGAGTCGGGAACAACTAGCACATATGTGTGAGGGGATCCTTTATCTTTTACCTTCTATGTCAGATCAAGCTTATATTGGAAAAAACTCTGCTAAAGATAGCTAATTTTATATTAAATAATAAAAGCAGGATGATTTGAATTTTAAAAGGTTCTTTAATTTACATTAAAAATTATGTAATTCGGGGGAGATGGATGCAAAACTTCCAAAAGTTGTGAACCTAAAAGATTTATAAAATGTTCTTCCATTGTTTTATTTTTTCAAATCTGGACGATCAAAATATCAATCTGTTAATACAGCTAAGAGTCGGTCTGCATAAGGCTTTCATTCTTTCTGCACACATAATGTTATCTTCCTTCAGAGCCTCAGCAACGCAGTGTCATCCTGGACTGCAGCCACATCAACAACATTGACTATACTGTAGTATTGGGTCTGTCGGAACTTCTGCAGGAATTCCAGCTCCGGGAACTTTGCTTGATCTTCATTGGCTTGCAGGTGGGAGTGTGTCTGGGAGTTGGGGAGGTGGGGGTGGGAGCAAATGTAATTTGCAGCTGGATAATTTAACTTTAAAAAGGCTTAGAGCCTAACAATTTTTATTTTGTAAAAAGACAATATTGTTTAGTGACAAAGTATATACTTTTCATGTAGAAGATTTTAACCCTTGGGGATAAGGAGAATGAATACAGATAGTCTTTGACTTACAACCACAATTGAGCCCCAAATTTCTGTTGCTAAATGAGATATTTTACAACCTTCCTTGCCACAGTTAAGTGAATCACTGCAATTAATAATTTATTAACACAGATGTTAAGTGAATCTAGCTTCCCTCTTGACTTTGCTTGTCAGAAGGCCGCATCATATGACCCTAGGACACTGCAACTGTCATAAATATGAGTCAGTTGCCAAACATCCGAATTTTGATCATGTGAACATGGGGATGCTGCCTTTTTTCTTAAGTGTGAAAAATGGTCATAACTCTTTTTTCAGTGCTATTGTAACTTCAAACAGTCACTAAATGAATTGTTGTAAATCGAGGACTGCTTGTATAACAAACTAAGCTCTTGAAGAAATGCTCTCAATTAGCATCCCCTCTAGCTTTTACTAAGTAACATCCTGCTGGCTAGGAATATTGATATGTGCAACCCTAATGTATCTACATAGTAGAATGATGGATTTAGTTGTAGTGTTGTTTCCTATATAGTCTGATATAAAATAGCCATATATATTCATAAACATACCAACAGTGAAGTTTCTGAAACACAAAATTCTCAGTGTCTCTCTAGAATATAGTCTGCATGTTCAAGTTATATAAGCTGTTTTGTAACTCAGCCCACTGAGTTAACTAGCACTGTATTATTTCCTTTGACCCAGAAATTTGTCTAATCCTATCTTTTAGCCAGAGAAACAAAGGGTGCAACTTGAAAATTTAGATAAGCAAGGGATCTGTTTTGCCCTTGAACCCTCCCTTCCTCTTCGAAAAGCTCTTATGAAAAAAAATAACTGATAATAATTCTCCCATTGTCCTTCATGCCCACAGGCTCATGTGCTTGAAATCTTCCAGGCTGCTGACTTGAAGGGTTTCCGTAATTTTTCCACCCTAAATGATGCAGGTAATTTGTTTAGATATTGATTATTCAGGATTGTGGTCCTTTGCCATATAATCTGACATTCTTATTTTCAGAAAAAAAATTATTTCCTAAACTGTACTCTTATCAATTGAAAAGCCAGTATAGATAGTCCTTGTTTAACAACTACAGTTGGGACCAACAATTCTGTCATTAAGCCTTGTAGTTGTTGAGCAAGACATCAGGTGATGGCAACTTACAATTTTACTGCAGCTTCTCCATTGACTCAGCTTGTCGGAAGCTGGCTGGAAAATGTGCAAATAGCATTTGTGATGACTAGGATTAGTTGAAAGTTATTTTTTCAGCATGGTCCTAATTTTGAATGATTGCTAAACAGGGTAGTTGTTAAATTGAAGACTATCTATATAAACTCTCGGAAGAAGATGCATACTGTGAGGTGTAGTCTAACCCTCAGCCTCAACAATGAAACAGAACAAAAAGAAACATGAGGGGAGCAGAATGCAGCCAGAAGTTGTAAATTATAAGCAGATTGTTAATTGGGGCTGGCCTAGACTTACTGGTTTCTTGCTGGGCAGAAAGTGATTCAGCTACCTAGAGCCTCTTAAATGACTTGCTATGCCAGAGTCCAGCATTATTTTTTCCTTGCTTTTTTGCAATTCTTAAGATAAAGGAAGATCAGAATAGAAGTATTTTCTTATAGGAGAAGAAATAAGATCTACATTAAATGAAAGGATAACAATGTTTGAATTAACAGAGGCAATTAAGAGACAGAAAGATAAATGTGATGATCTCAGCAGGGAACTTGGAGTTTTGAGGAATTTCTTACTTACACTTAAGATAATTCAGATCCAAAAGCAACAAGAAGCTTGATTAAATGTCCTATATTATTGGTTGACTTTAATGGTTTTTAACTCATCTGATTTTAATTTTTGTGCATGTGGCTTGGACATAACAGATCTCTTATAAACACAGTACAAATGAATTCTATTTTTATATATTATTTATGTGTTCTCTTGGCTTTTAATCCTTAGATTGTCTAAAACAGGGGTAGTCGACCTTTTTATACCTACTGCCCACTTTTGTATCTCTGTTAGTAGTAAAATTTTCTAACCGCCCACCGGTTCCATATTAATGGTGATTTATAAAATAGGGAAGTAACTTTACTTTATAAAATTTATAAAGCAGAGTTACAGCAAACCGCTACCGCCCACCATGAAAGCTGGAACGCCCACTAGTGGGCG